ACAACATTAGGTTCATCGAATCCATTTCTGCAAATGTATCCATGGTAGACATTGAACGATATCGTGTTTCATCATTAATGCTATTAAATATACTTGAAACTGATATAAATAAATCATTAACATCTCACATACTTGTTATTTAAAAATACTTTCGTGGCACTGGTAAGAGAAAAACCCAATATAAATCCAGCATCATGATAACAATGCAATCCTTAGTCAGCTATAATCCAAGACTCATGGACTCATAAATACAAATATAAACCTATTTTTTCCTTTTTTCTTAAAATATTTAAAATTTTTTTCTTAAGAAACCAGTTTTTAACTTCGTGCGGCGCTACATCGAGCTAGATATTAATTAGATACAGATTGTTTTATTTCTAACTATATATATTTCATAACAAACAATAGCATGATAGAAACTAACTTAAGCTTTGAAAGAAGTCTCATTGTCAGTACCATTTACCGCCTTCTTTTTAAGTCCACACGCAGGCCGCCATACTGTCAACCTATCGTTATTAACTTATTTTCTTCGCTACTTGCACACAATAAAAACCAATCCTCACTGATTCGACATAGAATTTTTTAACTACCGCTGCATCTAACTTCTCGTAATATGATTTGATTCATCCGACAATTATTTCGTCGGAATTTTAAATATTAATTAAGATAGATCAGATCTAGTGGAGGGTGGTAAGCGTGGTGCAATTGAACGGAGAATGATGCTATGTTTAAAAATAAATAGAAAAGTGTAATAACATTTTTTCGTTTGAGGCCTTGTTTTTGAGATAATCGACTTCTAAGTTGGGTATGCGTGCAACAGAATATGATTTGGACTTCGACGCGAGTAGAAAGATACATTAATGGTCAGACGCGATAGCCAATGTGTGTTCATTCGTACGCGTGTCCCACAAATTTTCAAATTCACTTATTTCGAAAACAAAGGCTCGAATGAAAAACTGTTATTCCTTCTTTTTAACCTGATTTTATATGTAGAATCATTCTCTGTCCGATTGTACCAGTCATCCCCACTCTGTATGTTAAACATAAAAAAGAAAGCTTGAGTCGCACATTGTAGAATATTTTTAAAAAATTTTCATTTATATTAAATGTCTATTGTTATCAATTCTGTTAGACTTACAGATCGTAACTATAAATCCTAATTAATAAAGTAAACAAATAGCAATTGGGACACCTAGCGTGTAATTGTGTAATTACAAAATTTAAGCGACTTCAGAACCAACATTCGAGCCACCATTCATGATATTCGAACCGATTTGTGGGAAGAGGCCCATAAAACATGCAACACATAACATACCTAGATTACGCATAGACCTGTTGAAGCGAAATATGAAATATGTTTGTGACCGCAAAGGGTTAATATTTCATTTGGAGCACATGATAGAACAACCAAGGGAACCTGATTCGCGTATCTGTGAATTCCTTCGTCGGTCCAGAAGCAACTTACCAACGAGCTCTCGTGCCTCAACACGCTGGGCAACGCTACTTTGATCACTATCGAAGAATTGTTTCGCAAGTGGCCTCACGTTGGTACCGCGCCGTGTATAATATTATAATACCGATAATGTGCCATAGGCTAGGATAGCAGGCTATCGCAGTAATAATAACTCGAACGTGTAACGGCTCGAGCAATATATACACCATCTCGTTCGCAGCACGTTAGACAGGTCGGGGAATTTCCGTAAGACGCGTAACGAGAAGTTCTCCCCGTAGTTTGTTATTGTTACGCCGATCCGGCGCGCTCGAACACTCGAACGCAGAGGAAACAGTCTTACGCCACGTCCGCGACGTATTATTTCCCGGGCATGGTCGGTTTAATGGTGTTCTTCGGTTGTGCATTCGCGTCTCGGATGCACGTATATCTGCACAGAAATTGCGAGTACGTGAATTCATAGATGGAAGCGCAGAAGGTACGTGCCTGCAAACCGGCACCTGTCCTCTGGGCGGCCATACACGAACGCTATCGTATACAACGCGGGTGTAACTTAACTCTCGTACACGATACCGTCGTGGAAACTCGTTAGTGTATAGGTAGATTGTTCCACGGGCTTGCCGGGCGTTACCATTTTGTGGAAGGGAAAGAGCCGACCCGGCTGTACGCGGAGGCCGCATAAGATAGGATAATTGATTACCGCCCGGTCCTACGTAGATTAATAACAGTCACCGTTATCATTCTGCTCATAGAGGTTTCACCCTACGCGCCGTGATACGCGATACTTGGCTGCCGCCGACTCGAGACGCGTTTACTCGTCGCACGGTCGTTCTACAACCCCGCGATACGTTTCACGTGGCAAGATTTCACACGCGTTTCTGTCAGCGGGAAGTTTAACGCTATCCAGCCCGTTATTAGTCCCGACGAATGCAACTGGTGTCACGGAAACGATCGCCGCATCTACGATAACAGGAAAAAGTTCTTACGCTGGACCGTGTTCCACGTTCATTTCCTGTTGTAAATTACTTTTGAATTAATTCTTTTTCAATAAATCCTTCTAACGTCTAATAGACTTTTCATCGTACAATACACACAAATGAGTTGTTTTATAAAAATATGGTAGAATTTTCGAACACTTCTTACAACTGCCACAATAAATCATGAACATTTTTAAAAGCTTATATCTTCTCAATAAAGCATTTTCGGGCATAAGTCTATATGAACTGTTTTATACAATTTGTTTAGACACCCTGTATAAAAGGAACACGGTTTACAAATAAAAAATTGAGTCATTCTCTAAATACATATGTGACAGATACATGCAAAATCTTTTTATAAATATTTTTAAACTCACGCGTCATAGAGATTGTGACATATATTGTTTAATTACTGCGATAATAACAAACGCAAGGCCAAATTAGACGTTCGAATGAACTTTCCAACCTAACGAATAAACTGAATGTCATTTATAATAACAAATTAAGATTCATCCCAAGTTTATATTGCAAGAGGAAATTATTTATGCCATTTTTCAACTATTAAATATAAAAGTTTATTGGTTTGTCTATACTATAACAATTTCAATTGTTCCCAATCTCTACTGTAATTGTATATTAGTTTTAATAAACTGGTATTCCAAATATGAACTTCCTTACGTACAAGAAAATAATTTAGGATTATTCTAAAAATACTAGAAATGTCAAATAAAAGGAGCTCGATATGTAGACTGACAATTAAATAAAATAATTATTAGATTGCCCCATAAGTTAGTAATGAAATTTACCATAAAAAATACAAATAATTCATCTGTTTACAATATTTTTAATAATTTGCGACATGTTGGTATAAATGCGTTTTACTGCCTCTGCTTTGAGGGTGGATTTCATCCCTTTAACATGGACGATAAAAAAAAGGGTAAAATAATTTTGGTCGTTCTGTCAATATGTCCAATTTCATCCAAATTAGCGATCGATGCTTTGATATGTTCCGTTTTAAGTCATGGATTTTATCCCTCGTTAATCCAAGAGAGTCAAATATCACGAACTTGTGGATCGATCATTAGCTTTACGCTTTCTATCGAATTCATCTCTTTTTACTATTAAACGTATCGTTTTGCTGAGTAGTTGAACCGTTGAAAATGATTACACGGTACTTAGTTCTCGGAAGTTGTCAATTTCTCTCCAAACCGTAAATGTATTGCACCCCGTAACTGAAGTCGTGAATGCACATTGGGGCACTAACTACCCGCATGCATCACAATTCCAGGAGTTATAATGCATACAATTATCTAAGCTACAACCGAAACTCAAAGAACAAGTTATGTTCAACGCAATGGTATCGTATTCCATAATTTAATACTTAAAAGTAATTTAAATTCACTAAGAATTAATTGCGTGCTCGAGTGCAGGTTAGAAGCCATTAACTATATCACAGCGTAACGTTGCGTTCGCGATGACTCGCATGTTCCAAGACACATGTTCCGTCAAGATCAACCACCTCCTGGCAAAATTAGTAGTTGCAATTGCAGTTGGAGCTACACCGGCAATTATGCGTATCTAGCATCGCGTTAATAATAATCTAGTAGCTACCTGGGGACCAAACACTAATCTGTGATCGTTAACTACAATTAAGTTTGACCTCGCCTATTCTCGTTGCGCAACACGATGATCAACAGCCCATCTGCAACGAATTTTCAACGGCCATTGCACTATTTTCAACCCCTCGCGCGAAACGTGCAATTCAAACAAAAACCAAAATTCATTTCTCCTAACTTCTACACACTTTCAATTACTCTTTCGTTCGACAAATGTTTGAGAAGTTTATTTACTCTTAATTTTCTTCCTTCCTGTTTTCAAATTTCATAATTCGTTCTATTTTCGTCGAAATTACGCTCCTCCGCTTCTGCCGTACACCCTCTTCGACGTTCCTTGGCTTTCTTCGCCTCGTCGGGTAATTCCTCTGTTATTACTTACACGTTATCCTTCTTATCCTCGCAATCAGAGCTTTAATAAAAAAATGTAGTAATTTCGACACTGCTCCAATTGTTTCCTTCCTTGTCGTATTTGTCGATATATTTTCCATCGCGTATGAAAGTTATTATCGCACGCTCTGTCAATTGTCCATTGTCATCACAGATTGTTTCTTTCCTTTGTTAACAAATTTCGCTGTTCCACTTTGTTCATAATGCACAGTAATATAAAATTTGAATTGTTAATTAAAAAAAAGAGAGCACTTTCTGTGATTTACTTTATTATTATTTCACTGCGAGGAATAATAAAATAAAAGTACAAAAATTATATTTATCGGTGTAATAAGCAGACTGTGGATGTTTATGCATTTACGGGAAATTTTAATTCTCAAAAGATACGAATTATTATATTTAAGGGTTAAAGCAACCTTTTACAAAGCTCCCGTTTCATTAATTCTATTAGTAAAAATATGAATAATTGCATACAGGTCCACAGTCTAGTAATACGTTACGATTATAATTTTAAATTATAAACCTATAGATACGAAATTAATCTTATTCTAAGGCCAACTTTACAACTAGTTTCTGTAACGAAAGAATTTTTGCAGGTAACCCGATGAATACAATAAACTTCATTTTTTCACCAACAAACAATGAAAGTTACACTTGGCACAAGCTTTGGGACAAACCATGATCCATATTCGAGACACCGGGCAATCCGGCGCCAAGTTTGGTCAAAGCGTAAACTAACAATTACGTCGGAATCTCTACAACTAATTCTCCGCCAACTCTAGGCAACGCGAGATATCGAAATCGTGCAATTTACAATGCAAAACGCGACATTTTCGCCGTCGCGCACACTTGCGCGTAAAGTTATTCTGACGATTATTCATGCCTGCAATAATTACTCGCATCAACGTTGCATACGTTTTTCCTAATTGTGTCGTTTAGCACGAGGACGCGAGTGCACTGAATCACTGTTCTCTTTCGCCTGGCGAATTCAGAATTGTGTCCAAGAACAGTAGCGTGGAACTTTGGAAGACATGAAACTGATAAAGCGCCTTCGACTTGAACGACACACCAGTTACGTAACATTGAAGAACTTCGTTTCCAGAAGATTAAAGAACAAATAATAAATAAGTTCTGTGGAACTTTGGATGCATCGTTTAAAAGTTTCTCCCACTTTTTTCTGTAACAACCGCCTTCTTTTATTCGATGTTCAATTTTGGACTTACTACCGCCTTCTTTTATTCGATGTTCGAATTTGTTCGTGGATATTATTCGTTCTTCCAAAAATCTATCGATTTATTAACACTACACCTACCACGACTGGTCAAAAGACCGTTTTTAAAATTTCGTTTAGAATTTTTAACACACAATGTTATTTTAGCGCCATTTAACATCATTACTTTTCGAATAGAATATTCACTTCTATTTCTATTCTATTTTGTTTGTTTCTAGAGAAAAATATGTAGTCTGTCTTGCCTACCACTAATGACTTATATTTTTTTATAAAAAACCGGCCAAAATTCGGTGTCAAATTTTGGTTAGCTTCCGATGTAAATAGGAAATATACAGCAAAGATGAAAAGAGAGAATCTTCAGTTTCCACTGCCTTAGAATAGTTACATATGCAGTTTCGAAACTACTAATGTTTTCTCCATAATTGAGTCAGAAATAGCAAGACATTCCCTTTAAAATGGTTTTTGGTTTATGTCGATCCGACTTTGCGTTTTGGAAATATCTAATAATTTTACGTGAATCGTGACAATCGTGAAAGTTCATTGACCTCGCGACGTAAACAATGAAAAGTAAACAAACACTTCGAACCCTTATATCTCCGTAACGAACCACGATATCGACTTGCACGAACACTCATTTTAAAGGGCACTTCGTCAACTATAATCATCAATATATCAACTATTATTATTTATGCTGTCTTCTATGTTTATTTTTAAATTTGCTCTATGCACCCAAAGAAGTTTCAGCAAGAAAAAAAGAAAGACACGAGTGCCGGTAGGTTTAGTGTTATCTATTATTGAGTTTAGTAATCTTCTTCAGATTCAACTTTCTTGAGTAATAAGACACAATTTTGATTTTAATTGTTTAGTAGAAATTTGAATGATTTTTTTATTAGTTTTCTCATCTCGGATGACTTTCTGCAATACCATTGTTTTTCAGACGTTTTACTACTTTTCTAACACCTGCTGAGATATTAAAATGTGACACAATTTTTCTAAGCGTCTTATTACTTTATAAATACGAAAATATTATATGAAATAAAATGTGTGATTTAAAATCGGTACTTTATAAAATTAAAATAAAATATTGCAAAAAATATATTTGGCAACTTACTTTCCTCGCCACACTAAATATATTTTGGATAATGAATTTTTCTGTTTCATACTAAAGACGAATTTCAACTGAACATGTATTACTATGGGAGTTTCGAAAATAAGTTCGTAAATAGTATTATAAATTTCATAAGCAGGTTTCGCGATAGTAAACATTTTTATCTACACTTACAGATTCCTGCACGACACACAGTGTGTTGGACTATATGGGAATTCGGAATAATAATCATAACTTCTAAACTAATCAATTTTCGACCTGAAAGCTTAAATATTTTTTTAAAGAGAATATAAAGATACATCACTTGATGTATAGACAAATATACATTTGCGATAAAAAAAATTGAAGTATCCTTAATTTTTTATTGAATAAAAAATATTTTGTTAATTTTTAATATTGCAATTTCTTTCCAACCGGACTAACTTTTGTTCGAATAGTTCTTTTTATTGATTTAGAAGAAATGCCTGAAATATCGTAATGATCATTTGAGTATAGTTATGGACGTTTGGGATAAAATTTATAACTTTGCATTATATCTGTTGAATATATTTAAAAAAACATTGTCTATTATATTAATTTTGACACCTTGACAATGGTTTTGTCAGCTACAATTGACCTTATATTAAAATTTAATCTGCCCTAAATTAATATTCTGAAAATCACTGAGGTATTTTTTAGCATTTCTTTTTTTAACTCAATTCAAAGTTGATAAACATTTAATATACACAGTTGGGACGAATTGTTAATATTGCTAAACGAATAATTTCAATTTAAAAAATTTAAAAATTTATAAAAATCAAATTCAAAACTTAAACATTCGGCAAATATCATTTTCTACAACAAATTGGCAAATTGAATAAAAATGATCGATAGTATTAACATTCATATTCCTTTACTAGTATTTTATGATATAAAAATTTATAAAATATAAACTTCTCTAAAGTCTCTAAAGCCTCACTAGACGATATTTTGTTATTTCAAAGGTCACTTCAAGCTAATGTAACCTACATATGTGAACTAATTTTTATATCAGCTACACGATGCAATAAAAAATAAACTCCTTATAAACTCCTTATACAAATTACATTACAAAGAAAATATTTTTTGCAATAGATACGTAGCTTGTATGGAATAATGTAACTTTCCTTCCTACGAAAGTAATTATATGTATGTTTTCGTAGGAGAGAGATTTGTACTGTAAACGTACTGTAATTTTATTCAATGTTAATTTATGTGCAAAAGTGTTGAATGTGTGAGACAACTTCATTAGAAAATAAGTAGTCAATAACAGATGTGGTTGCTATATATTAACAATTTGTGTTAAAAGATTTGTATTCAGTGTGATTTAAATTGTTCACTTTTATAATTATATATCATTTGTTTTTTATTCTTAATATAATTCTCTTCGTCAATTTTACAAGTCAGTAAATCTAAAGAACCTTCGTTCTTAATCTAACAAAGTATTAAAATGAGAATATAAAAGTTGAGTATAAAGTTTCATCGAAATCCGTTTAACCTTCTCGACGGAACGTATCGTTTCTTGAAACCATTCGAATAGCGTACAAAGTATTTTTTGCACCCCGACGGTTAGAGATATTTAGGTGGACCAGCCTGTGCGATGGCTGCCAAAATAGTCGACTCGTTTACAGAGATCCTTTGGAAATCTATCGTTGTTAAGTTCTTTAGGGATACGGTTCGTTATTGGTCTGGCAATGCTCGTTCCGTACGTGTCGATCGAGTGGCAGTTATGAGGTCAGTCGCGTGGGTGCAACTGTACGCCCACATACGTATGTATCTACTTGAACGATGCTACAGCTCGAGAGTGCACCTCGTTTTACTTCCCTCTTTTAGGGCGATTGTGTGCACAAGGAGAAGATGACGTTGATCATAGAGGCCAGGTGCAGCTGCATGCCACGACACGTATACCAGCGACACACTCAGGAATGATTACATTAACCCGTTGTCGGTAGCACCATCAACGTTGGACGAGCCTCCAGTCCGGACAAGTGTGCATTAAAAGTGTGCGTGTGCACGCATATCTATGTCAAACACACGCACACGCAATTCCAAGGTGCTCTAATAAAGCTGCGCGACGACGGGATTCCCCTTTGAGAGATTCAAGAGCTCGATGGATATCAAAGCAGCCTGTTCTTCAAACGCGTAATTACTTTTACTTCCTGATTTATATAACCATAATTAACGCGAATTTTCAATATCGTATCGGTGCGCTCGCTCAACTCACGAAACCACGGGCACTTTTTAGGTCATCCTTATCAGAATATTATGCTCGTATATTTCTCTCATTTTGCGGGTAGAAATTCGAATTTCAAACCCTACTTCCGTAGTTTCGGCGGTAGAAAAGCGAATTTAATTCGTAGAATTATATAATCAGAGCGCTGATGGTGGTTCCTCGTTGAAGATTATGAAGATTAAAAGTTCTAAATATTTTTTAACGTATTGCAATTCTGTAATATTTCCGTTACGTTTTCGAAACATTTAGGAGTGTTGAAACTCTGTGAGAACTGACGATTTCCAACTGTTTATGGAACTTGGCACATGGATAAAGCATTGCAAAATATTCCTTGTATAATTTTCTTAGAGGCTAATACACTTGTTCGAGGAAAGGAAACTGTTCTTTAAGATGTGGCTGAAATACCTATTTAGGTGAGTTATTAAAACACTGATAGAGAAGAAAGAAAAGTTTAATATGGAAAAAGGTGGTTTTCAACACTTTGACAAGACTTTTAACTTTGAAACTAAAACAATTAATTCTCAAGCTGAAACGTTGAAGGAAATAAATTTGAATAGGATTCATGAATTTTAGTATGGTTACGAAAATAAATACTAAGACAAATTGCAGTTTACAATTGTCTTGCAACTTTTGTTTGAAACATTTTTTCGTATAACGAATGCCTTACAAGTTATTTGAGGTCGTCATGTTAGGAGACTCGCCCTGTACATGTTGCTGGTTCTGAACATTTTAGAGAGTCTTTAGAATGTAGGAACTAAATTTGATATGAGATATAGAAACATAATAAGAGGATGAAAACAATTTTATAGCGTAAAATATTGCAGTTCATTTTTAAATACAATTATAGAATACAATATCGAATCACAATAAGTATCAAGGTATCGAAACGTTTATTTAATGATTGTAATATAATTTATAATCTCTGATATTTTGAATAGTTTAATAAATGTACCTCTACACATATTCCAGATGGCAGTAATATTTT